AATTTTTATCGGTATATAAACATATAGACAATAGAATCAAATACATGTACACAATATCAATATGTACACATGTGGGAAATAAAAAAGCATACACGCATATAAAGGAAAAATATATGTGAGTTTACACACATATACACACACACACACATGCAGGTGCACCCATATATATATATATATATATATATATATATATATATATATATATATATATATATATATATATATATATATATATATATATATAAGTACATATATATGTATATAATGAAAATGATAATTTTCCTATGGGCATTCTTACTTAATTATAAAGAGCCTTTGTTTAATAACATCATATACAAGGTTAGCTAATTATAACTTTCATTCCAAATGATATGCGTTCAAGAATAATAACTGTATAAATAAATTAGACAGCACAAAAATTAATTTTACACACACACACACACACACACACACACACACACACACACACACACATATATATATATATATATATGTATTTATTTATTCATAAGCACACACACGTATATGCATGCAAACACCTGTTAAAACAAATGTCATATATATATATATATGTTATTGATATATATATATATATATATATATATATATATATATAAACAACGTACATTATATATACATAATATATGTGTAGATATAATGCATGTAAATAGATGTATCTGTCAATAAAACAGAGCATTAAATATTCAGAAGAAAAAAAAACAGTAAAAACGCTAATATAAAAAAGGAAAATTATATATAAATACATAAGATTTTTAAAAAAAATAACGTATTTTCAAGCCACGGGCGCAGAAAACAATAGGAATTAAAAAAAAACAAAAAACAAGCGTAAATGAAGAAGCAAAAACAGCAGAGTCCCATCTGAGCAGACATTCGTGTTTCTACAGTTTATTTATTTCTTTTATGTCTTTTATGAAATAATAATTCAGCTGTTTTACAAGCGAAACAGCACAATGTTAAACCTTGGAGAATGCTTTCTATCATGTTATATAGGTTGCAAAGGCTGTTATCACAAAACAATCTTGCAGCTTTATAGGAAAATAGGATTAAATAACACAAAAGTATTTGTCACATAAGTAAGGTACACGTACATACTTTTGCGAAATGTCTCTAATTTCATAAAAAATATCTTGTTAATTTACTTTAAATATATTCGTTTTTTTTTTTTTTCCTTATATAGAATATTTTCTTTCATTTATCTTACGCTCGGATTTGTGATGTCGCGTGGGAAATGGCAAACCAACAAAAATTATATATAAAAGCATTGAAGCTGTCGTTATCACATCCACTTAGATTGTTTCTCGATACTTCACACACGCACAACGCCTGTTTCAGTGAAATGGAAAAAGTTGTCGATTGAAAATCTCTTCATTTCTACCCATTTCTTAAAATAATGAACACCATTGTTATGTATGTTAGTTGTTACGATATTTTGTTAAAGATGTTAAGCTCAAATATTTAACGATGTGTCAGGGGAATTTCTACTGATATTCTCTTGGGGTAGAACTTACCATGAGCTCATTCAATCCTTAACAAATAATTAAGATTAATCACATATTACATAGGAAAACTGTGAAACATTCATGGGTTAAAACTAATAATAATAATAATAATAATAATAATAAAAAAATAATAGTAAGGAAGCCAACAAATTCAAAATGGAGTTTTAAATGGGCGCAGAAATACAAGTAAAGCACAGTACACCGGCTGAAGCTGCAAAATCCTTAAAAAAGAAAGCAAAAACAAATGCAACCGACCAGATACAGAAACAATGGCAAGATAAACCACTTCATGCCTAATACTCTGCCCGTACCAAACAAGCTGACGTAGACAAAACCTGTACCCATCAGTGGCTACGTAGTGCAGGGTTGAAAGCTGAAACTGAAGATTTTATCCTTGCTGCACAGGACCAATGCTTGTTAACTATGAATTATCAACACTTATACTAAAATATTGTGTTAGCCCAAAATGCAGATTCTGTGATAAATATCTAGAAACAATTGAGCATCTTGTATCAGGTTGCACGATATTTACACCCATTGAGTATAGAACCCGGCATGACAGAGTGGGCCAATATCTGCACTGGAAAATATGCAACTTCTACGGGAAGGAAATTGAAAGAAACTGGTATGAACACCACCCAGACCTGTTACAATTCTATGGGACAACACAATACTCACTGACAGAACAATCAAAGCCAACCGCCCAAACATTGTTATTAAAGACCACAAACAAAAAAGGCCCCCTTATTGATATGGCACTCCCTACTGACTGCAATGTATCTTTGAAGATATTCAAAAGCTGTCAAAATACAAGGAACTTGAAATAGAAATCTCAAAAATGTGGCACATGGGAACATCAACAATTCCTGTTGTAGTTGGAGCCCTAGGATTGGTTGGAAAAGATTCCAGTAGACAAATTGATGGGATTCCTGGAAGTCCATGCCTCAAAGAGATACAAAAAATGTTTCTCACAAGTACAGCCCACACTTTACGAAGGGCTTTTTCTATGTATTTTTTTTTTGTCAGTGGAAAGTGTCATGATGTCATTTCTAACCTTAGATCCCTGGGAGGGACCCGGAAAGAAATGTCTAAACGCCAGAAATCAAAGGAAATAAAACTAATTATAATAATAATAATAGAAAGAATAATAATAATAATAAGAAGAAGAACAACAACAACAAGTCGATTTTTTCGCTTATTTATTCACTTATCTAATATTCAGTCACTTCAGATCGAGGTTTACTGAATTTGATGTCTCGAAGTTAGAGAGAGATAGTTAAGAAATTTAAATTGCTAGAATGTTTCCGTTTTTTATAGAGATAGATTTTGGTAAATCCATATTCATTGTACTAATCTCTAGGTGACTCCACAAGTTGGATTTGAACTCGGCCTCTCGGTAGAGAGCTTGACGAGGTCGAGTTCAAATCCAACTTGAACTAACTCTAAAAACTACAGCAATCGGCAAAAAAATCAATGACACTCTCCTACAAATAGTAAAACACGAAAACCATTCCATCAACAAAGATGCTGCACCCTTCAACAAAAAGCTTAATATAACTGAATCCTACCAAAAAAAAAAAAAAAAAAAAAAAAAAAAAACGAAGTGAATAGCATGCAAGCCAAACGAGTAAAACAGAAAGCAAAACAACATAGACAAATGAAATTACTAAAAAAATGGGCGGCTGGGGGCAAGGCATTTCGTGGCAAATACCTAAAAAGAACGAAATAAGCAGATATGGACCGACAAAAAATATCATCCGTTTCTGAGGAGAATTGGGTTGAAAGCTGTAACACTAGGCCTAATTATTGCAGATCCAGACCAAAGCATTGCAACCTACACTATCAGAGAATCAAGGATGAAATTGTTGAGGGGTTCTCCACTTTTTACACAAATGGACGCACCCACTATATACATATATTACTGCTAGAGCAAGACCGAAGTGTCGAGTCCAGAGTGACAGAGTAAAAGGCTGTAGGTAACCGGAAGAGTGAGGGGTGAGGTAATAGCGTTGTAGGAGTCACAGTGAGCGAGCACGTAGACTCAGTAAGATGTCATACAGCGATACTTCAATACCAATGACTGTATATATATATTTTGCTACTAACACGTATTCCTGGAACTACTAACCTGCCTTACCAGTTTGTATTATTACGTTAATACTTTATTTTCATATATTCATTCCTGGCGTTTGTTATTTATTGGCACCGGATTTCAACCGGCAATCCAGAACAGAAATTAACCTGAAATGCAGAACCTGCGGAAAATATGATGAAACTATCGACCATTTAATCGGTGTCCTGGCTATGACGATAAACTACATCCGCATCCAGAGCAAGACGATAAACTACATCCGACAGGAAGACCTCTGAAATTGTGAGGGTTTTGAAGAGCGTGGAACCATCTCTTAATTACTAGTATATCCAGGTGAACTTTGAACCGAGGTGTCAGCACCTGTTAGCATTCCAGATATAAGCAAATACTTAACCCCCAAACTGGGGTCAGAACCCTGTGAAAGCGCAAAAATAGGTTTTGGTACCAGAAATACTTTTCGTAAGAAATTATAACCAGCAATAAATTTTTGAAGGAAAAATTATTACCAGCAATACATTTTTGGAAAAAAAAAAAAACACACAAATATTACAAGCAATACATCTTTGGCAAAAAATAGTACCAGCAATAAAGCTTTTGTCGGCATTAAATAACCCATTGAGGTTTTGATACGCCGTAAAACAAACCAAATCAAACCATATTATCGGAACTATCAAAAAATGAATATAACGACAGAGATTAGAAGATATCGACTTATGTCCACAAGTAGATATGCAGGAAGCACAAAATCAAAACCACTGAGAGATGCTATGAGCACCAACCATAGTTACACAAAATACCGACGTACCTATCCCCTGGGATATGCTAATTCAAAAAATCCAACATACGTGATATTATAATAAAAGACAAGAAAATCAAAAAGTGCATGTCTATTGACATAGTAGTACTATATGAGAAAAACACTTCCATCAAAATTATAGAGAAATTTTCCGAATACAAAGATCCGGAGATCAAGATTAACAGGATGTGGGGAATGAAGACTGAGAATGTAACAATAGTAATCGGAGCTTTGGGCTCCCATATAATAAGAAAAGTGCAATCAATTAAATGAAAATTTTCCTATTGGGCCTAAGGACCATTGACTGGGCCCGGCTCTACTGGATACAAAGCAGGAAACATAACATAACATATAATAATAATAATAATAATAATAATAATAATAATAAGAAGAAGAAGAAGAAGAAGAAGAAGAAGATGAAGAAGAAGGAGTAGATAAATAGAATCATAATGTGTAACTATAAAAGAAACGTGAAGAACAAGAAACATTGCAAGAAAAACAACAAACAGAATTAAAGCGAAAAACGACTAGGGTAAAAGAAAAAAAAGAAGGAAAATAATAATAATAATAATAATAATAATAATAATAATAATTAGAAGAAGAAGAAGAAGAAGAAGAAGAAGACGAAGAAGAAGGAGGCGGAGGAGGAGGAGGAGGAGAAGGAGAAGCAAGAAATGAAGTTAGGGTAAAAGAAAAAGGAAGAATTACTATTCATAATCATTATAAGAATAACAAGATGGAAGAAGAAAAACAACAGGAATTAAAAAGAAAAGATATTAGGGGAGAAGAAAAAAAACAAGGAAAATAAATATACCACTACCACTACTACTGTTACTAGTACTAATAATAACAATAATAATAATATGGATGCGATAAAGAAATATAAATAAAATTAAAATGAAATAAGGTTAGAAAAAAATTGTAGAGGAAAGAAGAAGAAGAAGAAGAAGAAGAAGAAGAAGAAGAAGAAGAAGAAGAAGAAGAAGAATGGTACTTATTTTGATGTGAACGATTTTTAAATAACCCATAATATGGAAAGATATATGTAGCCGTATGTTTAGTGCATGTAAAAGTAATTATTCTGCCTGCAACTAGAGGAGAAAAAAAGAAAAGAAAAAGCACTGTTCTTGTTACGACGACAAAATCTACCGTTATTGTTACGATCCCCCCCACAAAAATGGTGAGCGTAAAATACGTCTGGTGACAGAAATTACGAACAGTATGAGGTAGGCGTGTCACAGTTAGCATGTAAGGGAAGACAAGAACACAGCTTTCATTTTCCATGTCTATACGCGGTGCAAAGGTCTGTAGCTACATCTTTCCCGGAATATCCAGAGCGTGCGTAATTAATGTCTAAAGGTAGGCAGTGAAAGTCATTTGCTGAAGGACTACGTGAATGGGGCCATAAAGAACGAGGATTACATTAATGCTACTGTCGAATAATTCGGTCAAGGCGTACGACAGATGAGCGATCTTAGAGAGTAGTACGCACATTTTAGAAACCCGTATTTCTTGAGTTATTTCAATTTTACCGGATGAATATTGTTGAAAAATCTTATTAACCTCTTTGCAGACATAAACGGGTATGGACTGAAAAGTTCATAGCTGACAAGTTCACAGACTGACTATGAAGGAGTGATACTAGAACTGTGAAATATTGCATGGATTAATATCAACAGTTATTAGGTTGGTGCAAAAATAATGACGTAATAATATCGTTTTTTGACGTATTTTTTAACGTCAAAAAACGACATTATTACGTCATTAATTTTGCACCAACCTAATATTATTATTAAGTGTTTGTAAACCGGCATGATCTATTTCTATAAGAAGAACAAATGCCTCCAGTGTATTACCGATTACATTATTTTTTGGACCCTCCAATATGTATGGAAGGAAATCTGTAAAGAAATATAACAACGATTTCTTTCATTATTGGATTTCTGGAAACAATAACGAAGAGACTTCAGAAAAGAACCTGACAATTACAAATCAGAGAAAAAGTAATATCTTGTCGACTCTATTTAAATCGGTAAGTATAATGCAGAGAGGACTGCAGTATCAACGAAAATTTCTGCCATTTAATGCTGAGAGACAGTCTCCAAATATCAACACTGGTAAAACTTTACAAGGGCATACATACCACTGCTAATAAAACCATTCAATAGATCACACTTTTTGTGTGTGTGTGTGGGGGGGGTCGTAACAATAACGGTAGATTTTGTCGTCGTAACAAGAACAGTGTTTTTTTTCTTTTTTTTCCTCTAGTTGCAGGCAGAATAATTACTTTTACATGCACGAAAGATATGGCTACATATATCGACATAGATATGTAATCTGTTTTCTCATTCTGATAAATCTTAATCGTGGTTTATATACTAGTCTTTGCCTATATACAGAATTAAATATATGCCAAACCAATGTTTTCCTATAAAATCAGATATAAAAACGAGCAATGTCGGCCTATAATCTCAAGTTTAAAGGCGACCAATGATTACCTATATATTCAGGTATGATTTCAAACAATGTTTATCTAGAAATGAAAGCATAAAACCAACCAATATGTACCTATAAAATCAGATAGATTGTAAACCAATATTTACCTATAAATGAAGCTATAAATTCGACTAATATTTACGTATAGTCTCCATATTCACCTACAGGTTATGATATGACGACCAATTTTTGCTTATAGACTCAATTATAATCAAATAGATATTTACGCATGGACTCATGTAGGAAACCTCGTAATGTTTGCCTATGAACTCATGACATTAGCCGAACAGTGGTTACTCATAAACAAACGTATAAATCGGAACAATATATATACCTGAAGATTCAAGTCTAAACACGGGCAATGTTTACTTATGGATGCAATACTACTACTACTACTACTACTACTACTACTAATAATAATAATAATGCTTTATCTATATAAAATGTGTGTGGTGTTTGTTTTTTTTTTGTTATTTTAAATGATCTGTGGAAGATGTCTTGAAGCCATTTCTGATCTTAAATCTCTGGTTGGAATGCAGAAGGAAATATTTATACAACAGAAACCCAAAGAAATAATAATAATAATAATAATAATAATAATAACAACAACAACAACAACAACCACTACTGCCCCAGTTATCCTTGTGGCGTTGTCTTCTATACAACGATCGAATGTAAATTACTATTTTTAAGAAAATAGTACCAAATAGCTTCAGAAGTCTACATTACTTGGCATTACGAATGGTGTTCTCTTCCTGAGCTATAGATCTATCGTTGATAAAGAAAAACGTGTGAAAGAAGAGAACAATTTCAGCAACAGTAGAAACAGTGCTACTAGTACTAATAGTAATACTACAAATACTATTAATAATAATCATAATAAAAATGTTAATACGAAATTAACATCGTAAAATGACAAAGAGAATAAGCCGCTCCCCAACGAAAAAAAAAAAAGAAAAAAAAAAGATAGAGAAGAAGCAAAGAAGTAAAGAAAATTTCACAAGCGCACACACAAACAGATGTCGACACACAGGCAGACATATTTAATGTTTCACGCTCATTTTGCTTACACATCTTGGTGAAAATTTTTAAGAAAAACTTGTGTTTCTGCTTGAAAAAATATTTTTAATATTAGATTTAACGTTAAATGGTTCCCCGATATCATCTTGAAGCAAAGCACGCTAACTTGAAAAAACAATCATTCAGCGAAAATGTCAACAGAAAAGACAACCTTTGTTGTAGAGGGACCGGTTATTCACGATAAACATGAAGAAGAAAACAGGAAGAATACAAAACGAATAACATGTAAAAAAAACAAAACACACACACAATAAACAATATGTATTATTTTGAAAAGGTTTCTACAAATACGGAAGGTTTATTGAAACCATGAAAATTTCCCGTTCCCCACAAAAAATAAAAAAAAATAAAAAATTGAAAGAAAAAAGAAATGAAAAGCATAACACCCAATCGAAACAGTAACTGCAACAAAAATGAGACAAAGCGCGTAGCAGGAAAATGTTTGCTGAACAAAAAAAAAATAATATGTTATATTTGAAAGGAAAGAAAAAAAAACAGATGTTTTGTTTATTTTTTTTTTTGTCACTATTGTTTTTTTTTTATTTGAAAGCGGAAAAAGGAAAACTCAGTCCCACATATTTTTCTGCCTAATATGTTTGACAGCACAAAACATTTTATTGCTAGCTATGTCATATCTATGATAACGCAATTAATTTTACAAATATCCCCTTTGCGCGCGCGCGCGCGCACATACACAAACACACACACACACACACACACACACACACACACACACACACACACACACACACACATATGAATGTATCGTTAAGAGACACAGTGGAGTAATGGATAGAGGTTCGGAGTGAGGAAGCGGAGTCGAGTTCGAATTCTCGTCGGATCCATTACATTCAATTACGTGCTAATATCATTGGTAAAGATGTCAATCCTTTTCTTCTTCTCCCAGCTATGGTTAAATAGCAAAACAAACTTGTTTCTATACATTTCGGTGACAACCAGTCGAGGAGAAAGTATTGAAGAGCGGCCTACGTCAGGCTACCTTGCATAACACTACCTCTATGATGAGTCACTATATATATATTATAATTATTTTTTAAAAATATGATTCCTTCGCTACATAAGAGTTCCCATGTTTCAAAAACGAGAGCCAATAACCTCAAAATTAAATTGAGTTAAATTGTCAAGCCCTGTTTCATACTCAAGCGAAAATTTAGGAAAAACTAACGCTAAATTCAAACTAACCGGGTAGTTTGATGTTAGCGATGGTTACATTGAATAATTTAAGCTTTGTAAATCCCACATTTTTTTAATCCTTTTTTTTTTCGAAAAAAGAGGAAGTATTTTGAAATTAAATTAATCGTTCCCTCGCAAGTAATTTACCATCACCCGAAGAGACACATTTGTAGTGTTGAAACACCGTTGCTAATGTATAGCGAATTTTAACATGTTTTTGTTTTAATCTATAATAAATAATATTGAGCTCTACTCTGTATTGAGCCCTATTATATGTCATTTGTGCTCAGCTTACTTACACACACACATACACACACATACACATATATGTGTGTCTGTGTCTCTGTGTGTGTGTGTGACTATGTCTGTCTATATTTATATCTATCTATCTCTCTCTCTATATATATATTTATATGTATATATATATATAAAGACAGATATTATTTTTTATACATATATATGTATGTGTATGTATGAATGTATATATATATTTATATATTTTAGATATATGATTGCATATATATGTGTATATTTACCACTAATATTATCTATCTATCTATCCATCTATCTATCTATATATATATATATATATATATATATATATATATATATATATATATATATATATATATTGTATGCGCAGTACATAGTAGGAAGAGGTCAATATCAGTGATAGAGTTAACATATATACTAAATTTATAGTTGGTTAGCCGCATGGCCCGGCGTTGCCCGTGCTTGATTAAAAAATAGTACGACTCATACAGCAATCGCTATCACTTGACTTAAAATATGTTTGCCCTTCTTTGCCTTTAAAGGAGTGCCCTTTGCTGTTCTGGTGTTGCTACATGCCCTACTTCTTGCCTATCTCACACTGCGAATTTTTTCTAAGCTGTATACTAAACATTAAATCTGTTACGAAAAAAGAACTAAACAAAATGAACACAAAACGATCAGCTTTAAAAAAGGACTCATAACTGGAAAAACCGAATGAAAAAAGAATGTTAACAATAAATACTTTTTCACACCCAACCCAGTTCTGCGGAATCAGAATGAACGTTGAGTTTAAGAAAGCGAATGAGCCAATTGGAGTAAAGTGCCATGCAGATTTAAATTTTTGCAACATGTGACAAATGCAGTTATCGATTTTTTTTTTGCATGTTAGCATGTTAGTTAACATTCGTGTCAGTCAGCTGTTGGCTCTCACGCTGGCCAATAGAATCTTCGTGCCTATTCGTGGCAGCCAGCTATAGGCTCTCATTCTGGCCAGTATAAAATGGCCGCAAACTTCATGAAAAGTGCCGTAGAAGCATGAAAAAATCGATTATTTTCACTATCGATAGGCGTTGGGAAATGAAAGTCGGTCTACAAGCTTGTGCATGTACATTTTGGTGGAAATTCGTCGAAAATTGCTGCTGTGCATTCGTTACACACACACACACACACACACACACACACACCCTGCGTTTTTATAGCTAGTGATACATCTTTTCGGAAATATTTTATTGGCCGCAACG